ACGGAGACCCACAGACTCACGCGGAGACCCAGAGACTCACGCAGAGATCCACAGACTCACGCAGAGACCCAGAGACTCACGCAGAGACCCAGAGACTCACGCAGAGACCCAGAGACTCACGCAGAGACCCAGAGACTCACGCAGAGACCCAGAGACTCACGCAGAGACCCAGAGACTCACGCAGAGACCCAGAAACTCACGCTGAGACCCAGAGACTCACGCAGAGACCCAGAGACTCACGCAGAGACCCAGAGACTCACGCAGAGACCCAGAGACTCACGCAGAGACCCAGAGACTCACGCAGAGACCCAGAGACTCACGCTGAGACCCTGAGACTCACGCAGAGACCCAGAGACTTACGCAAAGACCCACAGACTCACGCGGAGACCCAGAGACTCACGCGGAGACCCACAGACTCACGCAGAGACCCACAGACTCACGCAGAGATCCACAGACTAATGCAGAGACCCACAAACTCACGCAGAGACCCTGAGACTCACGCAGAGACCCAGAGACTCACGCAGAGGCCCAGAGACTCACACGCAGAGGCCCAGAGACTCACAGACTCACGCAGAGACCCACAGACTCACGCAAAGACCCAGAGACTTATGCAGAGACCCACAGACTCACTCAGAGACCCACAGACTCACGCAGAGACCCACGCAGAGGCCCAGAGACTCCTGCAGAGACCCACAGACCCTAGCAAAGACCCACAGACTCACGCAAAAACCCACGAGTTGACGATGTACTCCAATGTATGTCGCGATGCACCCCAGTCCCGTTGAGATTATTTTATTTTCCATTTGTGAAAAGTGCACCTGCCATGGCCAGATCGGACACGATGTAAGGTAGAACCTGTCGCTTGCGAGGCAGAGAGCATTCCTGATAGCGAATAACACTACTGATGCAGATAATGATGAGGATGATGATTAAGGGCCTACGGCCAGACAGACAGACTTGTGGTTCGGCTGGCTTAACGCTGCGCAATTAAAGCAAGGCAAAATCACACGCAAGCGGAGAAGGTGAGATGCGGTTACCACCCCGCGCGTGCATGCAGGCGACATGCACACACAACATGCGCTCCGTGTGGGATGGCAGGGTGGATTCAACAGACACACGCGTGCACACAGACACACGCGCTCACGCTTGTTCGCTCGCTCACACGCGTGCACACATGCGCTGACCGGTTAATGTTACAGGAGCAATTCAGCATCATGCACAGCTTGGCATCATGGTTACATGAACAGAGTTAACATGCGGGACTCACGAGTTTAAGTGCAGGGTCCGTCATAAGTTACTTGCTCTTGATGTTAGTTTACGGTACTTATATTTGCTTATGTTCATTGTATGATGTTACCTGTATTCTCCGGACTAATTCGGCGCATTTTTCCCCCTCTGTATTTTCAAGCGAAAGTTATGGGTGCGTCTTATATAATCTGGTAGGCGCGTGTGCTAGTGTGTGGTTACTATCTGTGAGTGTGTGTGTTAGTGTGTGTGGGGAGCGGTAATGTAGCGGTTAGCGCGCTGCGCTATGAACCCGGCGACCCGGGTTCGATTCCTGCTCACGGCCAACACCAGCGACGATTATCTGAACCGGTCCCAGGCCTCTCCTAGGTCGACTCAGCCTCAAATGAGTACCTGTGCAGTGTGTAAAAACATCCCCACTGGAGAGACAATGGCGGTCGGGTGTGGTGTTGGCCACCTACCCCCTCGTGTACCGTGCCGGCCTTCATGAAGTGCTCGCTAAGAGCACTTGCCTCAACAGTCTGGTATGGCTATATGGGGGACCTTTGTCTTTGTAGGGAGCAGTGGTGTAGAGGTTAGCACGCTGTGCTACGAACCCTGTGACCTGAGTTCGATTCCCGCTCACGGCCAACACCAGCGACGATTATCTGAACCGGTCCCAGGCCTCTCCTAGGTCGACTCAGCCTCAAAATGAGTACCTGTGTAGTGTGTAAAAACATCCCCACTGGGGAGACAAAGACGGTCGGGTGTGGTGTTGGCCACCTACCCCCATGTGTACCGTGCCGGCCTTCATTAGGTGCTCGCTAAGAGCACTTGCCCCAACAGTCTAAGGCTATACGGCAGATATTTGATTTTGTCTTTGTGACAGAGATCCGTATTACGTTATTGATACCAGGGTTGGGTCTTACTTTCCGAAGCATCTTATCATCTGTAGAATAAAGTAGCCAGTCAAAGGTTAAGGTTAGGGCTTTGCCCACTTTGAATTGGCTCTGCAGGTATTAAAATGCCGACTCAGCTTTATTTGTGGAAAATGTTTCAGCTTTAAATCACCTTCCGTAACATTAATCAAGATTTGAAGTTTACTATAACATTATAAAATATTACAGTCAGTCACTCAAGACAGGCTTTTCAATGTGTGCTTTGTCATCGTGGCATGCAAGTGATATGAGAACTTCCTTCACGTAGGAATGTAATTGGATTCATGACAAAATTTATATCGTATCTTGTCAAGCTACAGTGCTTGGCGCACTGCACATTGAACCCTGCCGGGTGCTCGAGTTTGAATCTTGTCCATCACCACATCTACGCCTCTATATAAGGAACGAAACAGGTAGATATCTCCACAAATGTGGCTGTCGCCTGATGAAGCTAGTTGTAATTACTGGCTAAACGTCGTACTCAGATTGTAAGTGTTGTGGCTTGGCTCTCCAACACACCGGTGTGCTGTACTAGTGACAAATTGGCCACGTTCTGTTTACATAACAACCCTTACTAGTCGACTGTGTCGTGTGATGGCGGGTTTAAATGACACATTTATATATTTACGCGATCTAACGCAAAAAAACCCTCTATTATGGACGATATTGGTCGCGAAAGCCTCCGTGTTAAACTCCTAATGAATGGCAAGGTGTGGGGGGGGAGGCCTTAATCCGGCAGGGGAATAAAAAAAGGGCGATAAATAGTATAACTCTTCTATCTTTTAGAGCAAGTAACTTGTTGCAAACCCTGTACGTATATTTATTCATACATGTAGACACAAAGACATACATTAACCTGTTATGTTGTTAAAAAATTGTCAGGGATGGCTTGAAATGTCACACAGGGCCAGCAGAACACATCCAACAACAAAAATGGAAATGTTAAAGGGAAAAAAAAACACGTGGATGCACACACGTTGAGACTGCCGGCTGACGTCGGGACTTGCTTGCGAGGTTAACGAGTGAGATGTGGGACACCGTGGTCTCGGACAGAAAGATGAGTCGGCCAACGGGGTCGAATTTGAATCGAGGCGGGAGAAAAGGGACGTGGGCCTTCACACCAGGTGGCTCAGCAGTAGAGCGAGCGGCTCACAAATCGTAGGGTTTGCAGCGACGAGTTCAAATCCTGGTTGCGGGGGTTGACTCGGCCCATCATCATCAATCCTAAAGGGGTCCATAAAATGAGAACCACTTTGCGGGGAAGTCAACAGTGGTTTGTGCGCTGTGGATATAATTGCCCCCAATGAATAGGAACGTGGAATGCCCATTAGTAGCTCAGGGCCGAACATAGAAGATGAGCGCCGATGCCTCAATGGTCATTCGAGCAGGAGGTCATTCTCATTTTTTGACCTCAGGATGAAAATGTTACCGGTCGTCTCAAAAGACTCTTTGCGCATCTAAGTAGTAAGCTGCTGCCTATGCGCAGAGCTCCGCTCAACGAACGATTCTGAATTTGTAATGCACGAAAGAATGGCTCGGAGGCACAGGAAACCAGTCAAAGCGGCGAAAGCAGCGAGGGCGTCAACAATTGCCCAAGCTCTGTTTTGGCCAGATTGTGCCTCTCAATTCCGTTGTTGCTGCAGGCCCTTGTTGTATACATGTGTGAGGTATGGTAATACGTTTTAAATATAAGATGATGATGATGATAGGAGTCATTTAGGCTGTTATGGTTACTGTTACGGCCTGTGGTTAGTGTTTGTGTTAATAGCCCAGTCATGCTGGAGGTCAAGTAACAGTTAGACAAGCGGGTTAAGTGTGGTAAGTCCAGGTCTATGTTAGCTATTATTTTATTGTCGTTAGGACTTGGGGGGTTAGCGACTCGTGGTTATATTTCAGGGACTGAGACGTTCATGGTTTTCTTTTAAATCCCCGCAAGATTAAGTCACATGACGTCGTTAATACGCTCGGGCTCACCAGTAAATAATCTATCACGCAGATTTTCTCGGACAATGTTACGATTCTTCGCAATTGATTTGTTTTGGGCAAGGCCACTTGTAAATGCCTTTCGACAGACATTTGGCCAGATCGTTACAGCAGCCTAACCCAACAATCAATTATGAACCCGTTATAATCTATTTGCTGGATTTAATGGGGGTCAACGCCAGTCCCTTTGCTATAGACACCAATTAACACACTGCTGAATTACATTTGGCACTTGAAGACGTGATCATTTTAACTTTGACCGATGTTGTGAAAGCTCTGCTGAGTGCTATTGATTTCGCTTTTGTTCACTCGTGTTATTTTTCTTTGAACTGGCCGCTGGACTTCCAGAGTTTGGATTTTTCTGTCTGGTATCTGTTGTCAACAATACTTTTATCAATAAACATATCTGCACGTACTCCAAAACAACACGTGCACGCTTTTTAAAATCAACCTAAATTAGTTCACATATGGTCGTTTTAGTGATTAACGTTTTCTAATACGTCATAAAAATAAAAAAATAAACACGTCTGGCCAGCATGGAAGACTAGGCCAAAACACCTCTCGAATGGGGCTCATTCTCTAGCGCTCCCCTCCATCTAACGGAGGCTCTTCTGCCAGCATTGTCCTGAGCAAGACATTACAGGGCAGCACCTTCACCATTATAATTTCGCCCGTAAAGAAAAAACCAAAAACTACCAACGAGGCTTGAAGCTAGCGCAAACATTTCAGCTCATTTATTCTTCCACTGGGCTGGGCTGATCCAAGCTACATTTTGCCCAGGCTGGTTGGGCCGACTTGGCCGGCAGTCTGCTGTGAGGTGCAGCCTAGGTGCTTGGCCAGCGTGCAGGCCGGTACCTGGGCAGTGGCCTTCCCCTGAGAGTGTGGCGACACTTCGGCTGCGCGCCATCGACGAGTGCGTCGGCGTCAGCAGGCGGCTCACGATGCTCATCTCCATCGGCGTTAGCTGGGACCGCCGGCCTGGGGAGTGCAGACGCGTGCACACAGACAAACGGGCGCACACGCAAGACGGGCAGACGCATACAAGCACGCTCACACACGCAAAAACGCACAGAAGCATACACGCACACGCGTTCACACACAAAGACGCATACGTAGGCAGATGCACACATACGCGCGCCAACACGTACATACACGCACGCATGCACATTTACACACACAATCGCGCGCGCACACGCACACAAAGGCACACAGTTAAAAATAACCAAAAACTCAACCAATGGAGGCTCAACGCACACAATTGGCAGCATTGAATGGCACTGAGCGGGCAAAGCCGAAGCCCAAAGCCACGTCATGGAACCACTGCCCAGACCAAGACTTCACTTGGCACAATGCGGCTCCTACGGGTCGGGCCGTGCGATTATTAAGACAGAAAAACGGTTGATAAATTCATCTGTTCTTCTGCTATGGGCCCGTACGTGACCTTCATTGGTCAGACCCCGGACTCTCGCTGGTCCCTTAAAGACCGGGCTTCGCTCCACGGGTGAGAGAGCGGTCTGTGTTCCTCCGCTGCTGCAGCAAGGCCATGGAATTCTTTGCCCCAGGCCATCAGAGACTTGGATTATGATGGTAATGTTTAAAGCTCATCTGAAAAGCAACTTTTAGTCACTGGAATTTTTAAATGACACCATTGTTTTGTTTTGATTGTGACAGAAGTTGATGTGCTGTGTCCGAAATTTTAACTGTTTTTGGATTGAAAGTACTTTTTTTTTAGCATTCATTTTTTGTCCAAGGGGCACATATAATGTAAATATTATGATTATTAATGTGTTTATTTTGGCAGCCGATATTATAATTCTGAATCAATTTTTGGGTTAGGCCTCGCAATGATCTGGCCAGATTTTCCTGACATTCTGACTTCCTTTAGTCCAGCCTGAAGATGCTTGGTGCAGTTTAAGGCAAAGTGAAACGTTGCAAAATCCGATTACAAAATTTAGCTGTGAAAGTCATTCTTCAACTGAACCAGTGAGAGTGAGCTTAAACAATAATAACTTGCCCGTCGCTAATGGCTTGCATCCGTGACAATTTAATTCGTTGGAGGCTTACAACGACACAATATTGGCCACATCATCATTTACGTGGCCGATCCTCGAATATCGATGTACGTCTGATCAGCCGCTACCACTCGTTAATATGGGAGGGGGACACGGGCGCTGACGACGATACGGAAATATTACAGCTCATCAGCACCGCGCGCGGCGGAAAGGCGTTGGAGCCACTCTGCGTGAAAATGAATTGGCCGTTAATGCGGACTCGGCATGAAAAGCCCGCGCGTGCATGCACACGATAGGCGCTGAAGCAGCAGGAGATGGTTAGCTCGCAAAAAACGGGAGTTTTGCCGGCAACAATAATGAGTGCTGGCGAGTTGGGGTCAGCGGTGGCGGCTGTGAGGGCAGCCGATGGTGTCTGATGGGCGGACGCACGCTGCACGTACCAAGCCAGACACTCCGATACGGGCAGAGCAGTCCAAATAGACATACCCAACTGGACACACCGATCCACATACACACCGTTACGGACACACCAATGCACATATACACACCTAACTTGACACACCGATCCACATATACACACCAATACAGACACACCGATCCACATATACACACGAATTTAGGCAGACATAACCAAGCTGGACAGATACTCAAATACTCCAGGATACTCAAACCTGGACAGATATAACATTGTGGACACACACCTATCCAAAACAAACGCAAGTCGCTCTGGACACAACGCTATAACCACACCATAACGAACACACCACTGCAGACAGTACAGACACAGTGTGTCCATGGAGGCGGTGGGTGGTTGGATGGGGGTTGGCGAGTCGCGCATCGAAGGGAAGGCATGACATGCTGCGGCATCGGATTAAGCGTCTGCACGGAAGCGCGCGCGCGTCTCACGCGTTCATTACTCGGTGGATTTACCGTTCGTTTTCTTCCTCTTTCCGGACGAACCTACGGTAACCGGACGGAGGTGGAGGAGGAGGAGGGGGAGGATCAACCACAAATGTTTGACCATTTTACGGAAACTGATCGTGCGCTTCTATAACTGGGGACGATTCCGACGATTGGACTGTCCCAGTCGGCCTGAAATTCCCTCGACTAACGCTGGAGGAAAAGGCAGCGGAGGAGTGACATGATGCAGACGGGAGGGGGAGGTGGAGGTGGTGATGTTGGGTATGTTCTAAGAATTAATTATGAAATTGAGAGCTGTCTGGGTGACCGGGCACAGGACAGTATTGGTACGTGGCGCATCCCGCCGCTAGTTCCGACATGCTTCGCCGGCAAAGGAATGAAACTGCGTGTCACCGCCGTCACCGCCGTCTAACGCCACCGGATCGCGTCGCCTGCAGGCAACGACGCTGCGCTGCCCCCCACTGCCAGGCCGGCTCCACGCACCCGAGCGATCGCTTGCGTGCAACTCCATCGCTCTGTTGCGTGGACGTTTCCGCGACCGCCGCAACAGCTAACTTTTTTTTATCAACACAGTTACTGAGCACAGGCACCAAAAGGCCCAAAGACGTCAAACGGCCAGCAACAAACAGCACTACCATATTTGTAAGAGGTCGGGGCACTACGAATCGACACGACTGCTTTACGTCAATATCGAGCGCGCCGGTGTGCTCCGAATTGGGAGCTCCACCGCAGGATTTCGGCTTCACCCGAACCTGCGCCGTGCACAGCAGCCGTACCCCTTCGCGTCGCTGGGGCGGCGCCCCGTGTGCCCGGCACAGACACGCGGCTTCCCCTACCAGGGCCGATCCGGCGAGTTCAACAGCGTTGCCGATGACATCGATAGCCTCTTGCTGACGACCGAGTCCGGCGGGTGTCGTGATAGGTTCACCGTGGAGACGGAACGCCGGTCAGGGTTGTCTGGAAGCCACGCGCAAAACACAACCCGCAAAAGGCCATAGTTAATTCTCGCTCAACCGAGCGTTGAGGTGGTGTACATTTCCCGATTACTATCCCGAGCCAGTGGTGGAATTTCCACGTCACTATTGCAGGGGTGAGTCATTCCATAGGACAAGTACTGTTGACCACAAAGTGGTACTTGTTTTATCACGCCTGGGGTGATGGGCTAATTCAAACCCCCAACATTGGGAGCGATGGATGGAAAGCCCCTTACAAAGTAAATTTTATCATTATTATTATGATTGCAAGCCGCTCGCTCAACCGCAGAGCCACGTGGCCAGTCAGCTCGTGCGGCTAACAATAGTAATTGAATAACTGAAGACAAATCATAGACACGGCACACGACACATGCACAGCCCACGCCGCATGCGCAGAGGAGTGATTTCTACTCCCCTCTGAATGTTGGCGGTGAACCCTGCCCGGTGGTGCCAGAAAGTGCTCCGAGGGCCGCAGCCGTCAATTCCGGTTTATTGACCTAAGCGACACTCGTTTGGTGTGCTTCCCCTGAAAGAGCCGAAGATTTAACGGCGGCTGCATTAAAAACGATTACTTGTCGGCCGAAAACGCAACGGCGCGCGCGCTTGACGCCTGCACTTTGGAGAGGCCAAAGTGACCCAAATGAGCTGAGCAACGGGGGACGTAACTCAGCGCTGAAATGCAAACGCGAGCACGGAGCGCGCCGAGAGCCCGCGTCGCGATTTTTATGTTGATGGGGCAAAAGTGTTGTTTGCGAGCGCCTATTAAGGCCGGCACGGCGCACATGGAGGCGGTTGTGGCCAGCGCCATGGTCAGCCACCCTTGTCTCCCCAGTGCCGATGTTTACACACCGCACCAGGTGTGTAAACATTTCAGTGCTGGGTGGACCTAGGATAGGCCGTGACAGGGTGTCAAACTCAAACGCGATGCCCCTCGCTTTGAAGCTCAATGCACGACTCCCACACTGTGCCACCCCCTCTCCACCCGTTCACACACTTGTACGTAATATAAGCATTGGTTTTACCCTTTCTGGCAATCAAACAGGTGTTAAGATGTTAAAACACCCAACAGAAACCTATGGCAAGGAATCATATCTGCATTATCCACACATACTTGCGGTGGACATGCAAACAAAAACATGCTCTGGTAATATGTGCATTGTGTTTGAAACTGACTGGTCCACACCAGAGACAGCTTTCTTTAGAGCCTAGTCTCAACCAGTGTTAGACCAGAGGACGGCAAAAGGCGAACAGCACAAGGACAATGCACTATCAGGGCATTTATAGCTCGTGGCGAGCAGATACATCGTGGCAACTTTCTTGCCAGTATCAAAATATAAGAATTGGTTAACAGAAAGGGTAAAACCAATGGATATATTTTGACACTGGCAAGAAAGGTCCCATGGCACTTGCTCGTGTCTGGGTGCGTGCGCGGTGGCGAAGGGTACGCTCTCTCACCGCGGTGGTGAGCGTGCAGGCGAGCCTAAGGTAGCGGGGACGGGCTCACTCACCGAGGTGCTTGCGCGGCGAGGCCGTGTGGTTGGAGGGTATCGCGCCCCCCCACGACCAGCGGTTGCGTGGGTCTCGACGGGGGGGCCCCTTCTCCTGAGCTCGGCTTATGGACGCCTCGTATCGTGCCTGTGCCGACACAAAGACAAAGATCCCCCGTGTAGCCTTTAACAGACTGTTGGGAAAAGTGCTGTTACAGCGAGAACCCACGAAGGCCGGCACGGCACAACGAGCGGGTGGGTGGTCAGCGCCACGCCTGGCCGCCTTTGCCTCCCAAGTGGCGATGTTTACACACTGCGCCAGGTACTCATTTGAGGCTGAGTCGACCTATGGGAGGCCCAGGACCGGTTCAGTTGATCCTCACCGGTGTTGGCCGCAAGCGGGAATCAAACTCGGGTCGCCGGGTTCATGGTGTGGCACACTAATCGCTGAACTACCGCTCCCCACAAACACCCTCTACACCACCACCACCACCCTCCCCTTGCCCCAGGTCTTGCACCTTGCAAAATAGGCTTTTGTCTCATTGGGTTCTGACCGCGGTAACATATCAATGCTCATGCATTTTGCAAGGGCGCTCCTATAAGAGCCGAACCGGTCACACAGATCAAACAGATGACCAAATGAGCGATTGCACAAATAAACAATTAAGCTCTGCGGCAATATTTAACTTACTAACTGCCTTCCCTAGGCCTGACTGGTGTCCCTGTATGTTTTCGTTTGCACTGGCAGCTGAGCTGGGTACCAAAGGTCGCCATTGGCAGCCTTGAAGTGCGTGTGTGTGTGTGTGTGTACGTTTGTGTACGTGTGTGGGGAGCGGTAGTGTCGCGGTTAGTGGACTGCGCTATGAACCCAGCGACCCAGGTTCGATTCCCACTCATGGCCAACACCAGTGACGATTATCTAAACTGCTCTTGAGCCTCCCCTAGGTCGACTCAGCCTCAAATGTGGACCTAGTGCAGTGTGTAAAAAACATCGCCACTGGGGAGGCAAAGGGCGTGGTGCTGGCCACCCACCCCCTCGTGTACAGTGCCAGCCTTCATAGGTGCTCGCTAACAGCACTTGCCCCAACAGTCTGTTACAGGCTATACGGGGGATATTTGTCTTTGTATTGTGAGAACTCCACTGCCCTACTAAACTTTTATTGAGCGCCAGTGTGGGAAGAGGCGGAGTTGTGTTTAGTGCACTGTGCTACGACCCGAGTTACGATTCCCGACCAAAGATCATATTATTGGTGACAAATATCTGAAACCGGGGAAGAAGTAATAAGCAATGATGTTAATCGCGACCAGAAATCGAACTCGGGTCGGCAGACACACAAGAGAAATACCCCCCATTACCTTAACAGACTGTTGGTGCAAGTGCCGTTACCAAGCACCTATGAAGGCCGGCACGGTAAACGAGGGGGTGGGTGGCTAACACCAACCCCGGCCGCCTTGGTCTCCCCAGTTGCGATGTTTTTACATGCCGCACTAGGTACTAATTTTATGCCGAGTCGACACACACACACAAAGACACACGTACACCACCCGCCCCCCACACCACCGCCCGGGCACGCGCCGTGCGCCGTCTCTCTCGCCTTGTCCTCGGCGAGCTTCTGCTTCCTCTTCTCGTCGACGGCGACGCGCCTCTCCTCCTCGCGCTGCCTCTGCTCCGCGAGCCTCCTCCGCCGTTCCGCCATGAAGCGCTCGTACAGCTCGCGCGCCTTCCGCTCCTTCTCCTGGAAGAGCTCCCCCCGCGACGCTGGCGCCCGCCACGAGCCCCGCAAGTGCGCCACGGAGACGAGAAACACACGGACGGAGACAAGAGATACGCACACGTGCACACAGACACAAATGTGGACACGCCGACAGAAACACGAGCAAGGACACGCGCAGACGGATACAAAACACACGCAAACACACAAATACACAAACACACGCAGACATACAAATAGACAGACAAAATCACGCATAGATGCACACAGACACACATAAAGACAAATACAAACACACACAAACACACAGACACAGGGAAAAACAAAAACGATTTAGACAAAGATCGCACTTAATATCCTTGTCGACTGTTGGGGCTGTTAGCAAGCACCTATTAAGGCCAGTATTATATACAGTAAAACCTTGGATTGCGAGCATAATTAGTTCCGGAAACGTGTTTGTAATCCAAAGCACTCGTCTATCAGTTGTGATCACGTGACGCTCGGCAGACAAAGTGTATACACGTACTACTTGTATTGCAAGACCTCGCTCGTTTATAAAATTATTATTTATTTAAAAAATTTGCTCGTCTTGCAAAACACTCGCAGACCAAGTTACTCACAATCCAAGGTTTTACTGTATTTATTGTATAACGCCGTAGTTCTGAAAAGTTGTTTTTGTTTCTATGTTCCTTGTTGTATTTCTGTATTTAGTTCAATTCCTGTTTTGTAATTTTTCTGACCCGGCTCACCGTTGCCAATGAGACCACCCCGGTCCCTGAAGGTCTCCGCCGGTTAAACAAAACCAATGTGAGCACGCCGGTGGATTTGCAGACAATTGCCGCAACAGTTTAATCTTCGTCAAAGTCATCAGGGCCAATGTTGATGCCACCACACCTGGCCGCACGAACCCTTCCTCTGCTGCTTCCGTAGTTTGGGTAAGTCGATATGCAATTCCATTTTTTAAACTTTGTACATTCGGACAAAGGCGCTGGGACACAGCGGTCAACACGTTCCGACCAACATCTTGGGATTTCTCTCGTCCACTGTCAAGCAGAAGTAGTTGATGGTTAATACACCCCGTGGTTACATGCAGGGCGGTCTGCCAGTTTTGAACCACGCGCCACCGCAACGAGCGGCGAAAGCGCTGGCAACGGGCAACTTTAGCCGTGCCACTGCTCCACCAATACTGTAAATACAGTACAGTATATATATATATACCTCCTCTTTGCTGTGATGGACATGTCCCAGTATTGTGCACAGCGTCTTCAGACGAGGCTGCTTTTAGATGGTCTATGAATCAAAAATTGCATGCATTGTATGACTTCAAGAATCACGCAATTATCTTCAACCACCTCTTTCGATTCAAGAGTGTGGTCGCACGATGTGACCATGACAAAGGTTACCTCCCCTCTCCTCCTCCCTGGCACCGGGCACGACAGCGGTACGGCACGCACGCGAGTGCGAGTCACGCGCTGCCGTGAGCCTGAGCGCAGTCACATGACCGCACGTGAGCACGCGTTCACACTCGCGCAAGCACGCACACCGTCTAACAAAGACCAAGATCTCCCGGGTAGCCTTTAAAAAAACTCCTGGGGAAAGTGTTGCTTGGCGAGCACCGATGAAGGCCGGCACGGCATGCCAAAGAGGTGTTGTGGATAACACCACGCCCCGGCCGCATTTGTCTTCCCAGTGCTGACATTGCTCACCGCACCAGGCACTTGTTGATAACCGCCAGGTTCCAAGTGCAGTGCGATACCCGCTACACTGTCGCTCGGGGCCCACACACAAACACACATACGTTTCTCACAATGACTGCTGGCCTTCTCTCCTATTAAGCCGTCAATCCCACCGCCCTTTGTTTTTTTTTGTAAGGAGTGCCCACCCCACCTGCGTGCGTTCCCAGAAGACGCTAAGCGGTGGCCACTGCTGCAGTACTGGTGTTGAGTAACGAATCAACTTTGTGCGGTATCGTTTGTTAATAGTATATTTTTATCAGCTTTGTCCAGTATTGATTTAATCGCAGCAGGTCAGCAGCCTTCCTTAAGACAGTTATATGCAAATAAACTTGAATATTTACAACTAAAAATACAATTTCAAAAGCGACAAGATTAACACTCAGTTCTTGTAGATCTGCCGATTGCTCACTATCATAACTATCATCGTCATCATCATCATCACTACCATCTTCATCATCATCAGGACTACCACTACCTTCATTATCCTTATTATCAACTACCATCATCATAAGCAGCAGCATCACCACTACCACCATTAATATCATCATCATCATTACCATCATCAGTACGAGCACTACCTTCATAATGATTACGACCGTCATCATTAGCAGCATCACTATCAGCTGCATCATGATTCTCATCATCATCAACATCCGTAGCACTATCCGTAGCAGCAGCAGCAAAAGCACCATCATAAAAATCATTACCGCCATCGTGCCCACCATCATCAACACAACAACACCTGCCATTCACCACTAAGTGGTGGTGACGTCACCACGGTACCTGTGCCAGGCCAGGTACACCACCTTCATCACTCAGCACCTCCGGCCACTCACCCTGCATCTTCTCTAGCTCTTGCCGCCTCTCCTTGGCCAACCGCACTCTCTCGTCCGTCTTGGCACCGCCGTTATCAGCGCCTGCGGGCGAACAACGAGCGGGCGACGGCAGTCCGGTGAGCGGGTCGCCTACCAAGCCTCATCCCGCCGCTGGCTGGCGGGGCATAGCGTGGGTAGCAACACCGCCAGGTCGCGACCGGCCAGCAACACGCGGGAGCTCGAGTGGCACGACAGCCGAGGTGTCTAGTCAACCGCCCTTTACAACAGGAAGTTACGGAAATAAATGGGTCAGCGATCATGTGTGTGTGTGTGTGTGCGTGTGGGGCGGTTGCAAAGGCAGCCGCACAACACCACCGTCACGTCGCCACCACGTGGCACGTACCTGCTTTGTTTGCCATGGCCGGGGGAGGGGTGGAGTTGGCGCGGCTCTCTGGTGAGCTCCGGTCTTCCAGCCTGGTGCGGCCCGGTGTGGAGGCTGCGGGTGGTTTGGTAGTGCAGGGAAATATTGGGAGAAGGGTGGTGGTGGTGGTAATAGTAATGGTGGTAGAAGAGGAAGTGGTGGAGGAGGTGGTAGCGGTAGCGGTGATGGTTGTGGAAGAGGATGATGGCAAGGTGGAAAAAGTGTTCGTGGTGATGAACATACGAAGTAGGGGGGCAATAGGGGGGCACAGGAAAAGAGAATGACATCAGTCAGTACAGGTACATCAATAACAACGCAGAATGGCACTAGTACTGCAAGAATGACCAGGCTTAGACCTGCCTGCATCATATTGGCATGTTCCAAAAAAAATAATTTTCATCATCGTCAGCCAAAATCACTCCGCTGCTGAATGAAGGCCTTTCCAAGCCGTCTGCAAATCCCACGGTCCTACAATGCATCAATTCACGTAACTCCTGCGCACACGAAGCGCAAGCAACTGTATGTTTGCACAGATATTATACAACTAAAACGTGGAATGATGCCACAACCATTCTGCTATTCATCACCGGTAATAAAAGTGACTTGGATGGCAGAGCCCCACATGAATGAGAGTAATGCCAGGAGGAAGAAGTAGAAGATAAACACTCCGGTATTGTATCACGCGTAAAATATCCGTTGTACAAGGCCACACCTGGGTGATAAGCGGCGTAAAACCCTTCACGGACACAAAAGCCAGGGCTGGGTGCAACGGTTGGGTCGTGGGAGCCCATATCAGCCGTTGCCCTCTCACTCATTCATTAATTAATTCACTCAGTCACTCTCTCAACCACTCACCAACTCACTCACTCACTTGCTCAGTGTCCAACACAGTCGCTCAATCACTCACGCGCTCATAAGCTCTCTCACGCAACTCACTCACATGCTTGTTCACCCACTCATTCACTCGCTCACCCATACAAATACTCATCCATCCACCTATACATTGTCTCATTTGCTCACTCACTCACTGAATCAATCGTTCAGTCACTCACCCACCTACTCATTCAATCACTAGCTCACCCACCTACCCACTCACTCACTCAGCATCCAACACAGTTTGCTCAATCACTCACCCGCTCACAAGTTCTCTCACTCAACTCGCTCACACGCTTGCTCACCCACTCATTCACTCGCTCACCCATACAAACACTCATCCATCCACCCACCCACAGTCTCACTCGTTAACTCACTCACCGAATCAATCGCTCATTCACTCACCCACCTACTCATTCAATCACTCGCTCAACCACCTACCCCATCCCACACGCTCACCATCTCATTAATTCACCCACTCACACGTTCACCCACCCACCGCGCTCTTTACAGCTCTCGTGTATGGTCACGTGTGCCTACAGCTGCATAAATGCGCCGCACTAACGCCACCCGGCGTCACGACATGGCAGTAAATGCGTTGTGCAACGCGGGCTGTGGCCTCAGGCACACACAGCACAGCCACCGCCCACGGCAAGGCGGTTAACGAACTCGGCAAAATCGGCGACTCGGGAGGGAAAGAGCGCGAAGCAGAGTCACGCGCGGTGCAGAACGATCATCGGGAGCGGATCTCAAAAAAAATATTCCCGACTCCCCCCCCCCCCTTCCCTCTGCCTTTGATCTTCCCCCAGTATGTTTGTTACCATTCCCCTCCTTTCCACCCCCCAACCCCCCACATATAAATATCCCCCCCCCCTCAACGCAGTCCCCACTTGGTTTGGGGCAGCGAGTCCAAGAGTTAACCTTTCCCCCTCTACGTCCGGTCACGTGACGCCAAATTTGAACTTTCGCGGAGTTTCTGTTCATCCCGACCCCTGACGCCCAGCCCCCTCTATTAAACTATAGAGGCTGGATTGTAATATAGAGGCTGGCAGGTAGGCTGGGAGGCAATGTTCTAAAACTTATAACAAGAACGAAACCATTACAATTCACCGAGTCTCAAAACTATTTCACAGCAGGGTTCGACAAACACTCGTGAATGGAATTGGCCAAACATCACAGTGTCAGGTCCCTTCTGAGAAAGAGACTTGAGAGTCAGAATGACTTTTTTTATGATAAACGAAGGGCAGTGTGTATTGTATTGATTGTTTTGAGAAGGGTCGTGCTACATTGGGTTGTTTTCACCCATTCGTGTGAGACGGAAACCATGGTAACCCAGCACACAGAATCGGAAACTTTATTTACCCTGGAGAAATCCGACGTGCTACAAATCTCTTTTTCACAGCAATCCCCGTAGGGGCGGGTCAGAAAACGCTTCACACAGACTGATTCGACAATCCATTGCTGTCCTGCCATCTTCATTCATCTGCTGGGTTCAGAAGGAACGAGAGGCCACGGGCGTGATGGCCTCACACCCATCGTGCCGCCCTTCACAGGTGCTACCCGCGAAACTGCACTTGCCCCGACAGACTGCGAAGAGGCTACACGGGAGTCATCTTTTGTCTTTTATTGTCGCTGCCCTTCCACCGACAGCTGTACGGTTACATATCCACCGCCAGATGCCCTCAAACGCTTTGGGGGCCGGTTTGAAAGGCCCGGTTTGAAAAGCCCGCTTGAAAAGTAACTTTACGAGCTTACTTTGGCACGCCGGCCGGCCTGCAATGCGTGTCGAGCCCCTCCCTCCCGGAGCACAAAAAAACGTCAAGCGGCCAGCAACAAGCAGCACCATTAAAGTTGTAAGAGATAAGAGTTAATACGTTTCCAGAATTGAGCGAGCTTGTTACAAGAGCTTGCGAAAAGAGACACTGAGTGGGCAGCAGCAACCGGAGCTACCAAAGTTGCAATCGATGAGAGCTGACACGTTGCTCGAGTTGTATGTATGTACGTTGAACTTCTTTCGCACCGTACGTAGCCAACCGTGCTAGTCGGAGGTGCGGGAGTTGAGCGAGGTTATTGTTAGAGCTTGGGCAAAACGGACAATGGGAGGTAGTTAAAAAGTCGGGCAACGCGAGCGAAGGAATGTTCTCCGTTAGAAAGAATACGCCAAGCACATGCGGGATCTGGAAGCCAATCGCTGAGAACACGGAGATAAGGGACAGACACGACAAAGCAATGGAGCTGCTAGCATGTTCTCCCGATAGGGAAATACAACTCCGCACAAGGTGATTTACGGAGAGCAAAGCGGTGCGATTGTGTACCACTGGATCGGTTCTTGCCATCGTACCGCGGCGTGTCACGGAACGTCACCATGCGTGCATGCACACGGGCAGAACTTTTTCACAATCTCTCACATGCGGTGTTCAGAGCACCACCAAATCAAGTCCCATCTTTCGGTGTCTATAAATCACATTTTGCGCGCATTACTACCACTCCCGCTGCGACGTAGGTCACCGCGGTTTTCCACTATACGGCTCTCCTCCGTGCTCTTGGGATGTGCCGCGTGCTGTTTGGCACCATGTCCGAAACGTCGGACATCATTCCGAACAACAACACGACGCGAGACAACCCGACCGCACATCCGAGAGCGACACCGTTACGCCTATTTATTTCCAGCCGGGACCGCACGCATCTCTGTCCGATGAATTTCTCACCAGTTCTAGGGCAGGTGGCACGGTGGTAAAAGGGGTGGGGCTCCCAATAGGAAGTTCAGTGATAAACAGATATGAGTACCGCCTTGCGGGCAACACGACAGTGATTGTCCAACGAGTTGACCGACCTCTCCGCCAGGGTAATGAGGAATGTTCACCACTGGCTGTACAGAGGAGACAGGAGCACCGATGCCGCCTGAATGCTCACCGAATTTTTTGTTTGTTTTTTTGTTACACCAAATTGCAAGAACTGGCCACGACGCAGTCGCCGAGTCGTACACAGGGGGCCATTAGCAGCCAGCGGATACGCGAGGCACTTAAGAGAGCACTGTTGTGGGGGGGGGGCAGGTGTGGCGGTGGATGCAGCCCACAACCACCACCACCACTACCACCGGATGCGAAGACGCTAAATTCAGAAGTTGGATTTAGGCAATGCTCTCTCTAGCTATTTTCGTTCTGTTGCGTTGTTGACCTTTGGCTTTCATAATAGACGACAGGATCACGCCTCAGTGCGTACTCGCATTAAATAAATACAAATATCTCTCCGCCCTACCCAACCGTGTAGCCTTTACAGACTGTTGGGGCAAGTGCTGTTAGCGAGCACCTATTAAGGCTAGCACGGCACACGATGGGGTGGGTGGCCAGCACCATGCTCGGCCGCTTTTGTCTCCCTAGTGACGATATTTACACATTGCACCAGCTACTCATTTGAGGCTGAGTCAACCTAGGGAAGACCCAGGACCGGTTCAGATAATCATCATTGGTGTTGGCAGTGAGAGGGAATTGGGTCGCCGGGTTCATAGCGCAGCGCGCTACACACCCACCCACACACAAATATGCCTCCTCCCATGCAGCCTTTAACAGGCCAACACGTAGTATGACGTTCGTAGCCAACATGGACAGGGCTTCTAAATCATCTGGCCAAACTTTTGTCGTATAACCCTCCACTACCCAGCGTAGCCAAACCAATGTAAATTGTCACGTGTTGGCCAAACATCCCAATATAGCACCAGAGCTTTGGCAATTGTACGCCAACATCACATATGTACACACAGACCCTCACTCCAGACACGCACATCTCACACACACACACGCCATTCCCTCCAACACATTCTTCCACACACAACAACAACCGCCATTCGCCACTAGGTGGCGGTGACATCACTACAATGCTTGTGCCAGGCTAGGTGCGCTTTAAGGCCACGCGAAGTGTCTAACGACCGCTGGCAGGAGCTCAGGGGACAGATCCAGGTGCCAAACACAACATACCCTCATACCCTCACACCCCTGACACGTAGATAGAGACACACAGCAGACAGGGGCGAATATGTTTGACAAAAAAGTACAAATACACACCACACCCTCTGACAACACACATTCTTCCACTCACACACACACACCCAGACACCCACACAGCAGACACGGGGTTGTGTGCTTCTGGCTGTTGTAGAGCCGGGCTGGGCTTGAGTGTTATGGTATGCCGAGCATCTGCTTTTA